CTATTTTAAAGTATATAATAAAGTTAAAATGGTTCTCATTAAAATGTTGAAGATAGAATTCTTTTGATCCACAATAACATATGTACTAGATTAATATTTGAAGACATTTATCAATGACTATTTTAAAAGTTACTCACAAAACTATTCATTAGATTGTTTTCAACTTTTTTAAATATGTTAATAATATTTTGAGAAGACGAGCACGCCACCTTTTCTTTTTTCGATCATTTTAGTAGTAATATAAATTTTTATTAAATAATAATAAAAATTCTGTAATCAAACATTTTTTTGTTCATTACCTTTATTAATATTTGCCATCAACTGCTCGGCAAAAAAGTACCGAATATCAATATCAATATCTTAAGTCCAGTGAGAATATTAATGGTTCAGTATAATACATTTATTGTTTACTCAATTAATTGATAACAGAATATTTGTGTATTGACCTATGTAACCATGATAATACAATGTTTTTGAAATTTGAACTGATGTATAAAAATTGGCGCATTATTTTTGCAGGTCAATTGGGACTGTTTTTAAAGTACACCTTAATCCTCTCACCAAATGACGCCCCTGAGAGAGAGTATAGGTGTAGAGTTAATCATGGATAAGATAAGAGAAAATAGACTTAGATAGTTTGGTGATGTTATGAGGAGAGAGGAATCGGAAACTGTAAGAATAGTTATGGAAATTAATGTTTAAGGAAGAAGAAGTAGAGGAAGACCAAAAAAGATATGAAGGGATGTTATTGAATGCAATACGAGGACGGCTGATGTGGCAGATCATGTCAAATGGAAGTTTAGGATAAGGGTGGCCAACCCCAAGTAGTTTGGATATAGGGGAAAAGAAAAGAAGATTTGTAAAAATAATAACTCTATTATTAATAAATTTAGTAATATTCATATTTTAAATATGTTATTTTATAAGTTTTTCTGAAATGAATTTTTCTTTTTTCATACATTTTTAAAATATCTAAAATTTTTCATTATTTAAAAACACATTTAATAATACTTAACATTTATATGTTATTGTTCTATTTATTTGAAAGTATTCTACTTAAACATGTATAATGAATTAAAACATCGACTGATTTTTAAAATTGACAAATTATTAAAAAAATTTATAAAATACTAAATTACTTTTTAACCGTCTTATTTTGTTAGTTTTGTACTCGATTTATTGAGTAAAATTAAACTAATTTATTGACGTAATAGTGAATAATTAATATTATAATGAACTTAAACAAATATTAGTAAAATAAATTACCAACGTGTCTGCTTTGACTGTACACAGCTTAATTTATCTACTATGTTGCTATGTTGACACCAAACTTGGCACTTTTATATTTCATTTAATTGTTTAAACTGGCTGTGTTTTAAAACACATGGTATTTCCTTGTGCAAATTTTCAGTATTGAAATAGATCGATAACATCAAAAGATATTTGAACGGTGTTCAAAAAATTATGTTATTATTGTACTCTCTCTGAACCATAAATGCTACTCGGGTATACAAAAATGTTTCTAGCTGTTGTTGTAATTCAAATAACAAAAATAAAAATTATGAAATTTTGGGGTTGGGCTGTATATGCTGAGAACCTTATGTTGTGATTCTATCGGGGTCGTATGGTTCGAGGGTTTAGAACGACAAAGACAAGTAGATATAAAAATAATAACTCAATATCTAATTGAGGTGTAATGAACTTTTGTCTGGTTAGTTTCTAATGTCCTAACTAAGAGGCAACGAAACGGCGGAGCCAGTCCACGAATATCATATAACGTGATTATGTATAATATTTTAACCAACCAGTCAAAATTAACACTTTAAGATATTAATTTAATAAATGATCTATTGCTTTGTCATCCTTTATTCAAACTTATTAACTCTAAATAATTGGGATAACATAAATTTACTTACTTCTTTTTTTCTTGCAAATTGCTGTGAGATGATTCGATAAATATTTCGATTTGTATATATACACTTATAAGTGTTCTATTCGTACTTCGTCACAAAAATAGAAAATTAAAACAAATTCTTTTCGAACGTATATAATCAAGACGCATAAAAAAATAGCCAACAACAACACGGGATTGTGGCTAACAATTGTTTTCTTATGAATTCGGTGAAAGCGAACTCTCGTCACTCTCTCCCTAGTCTGAAAATATTTCAGTGCTTTTTTATAGTAAATGATAGTACCCCAATCCAGGGATATTGTTGTCAGCGCTTTTAGTGATCTATTATATATATATATATATATATATATATATATATATATATATTACG